TGATTTGCTTGAGCTCTCCCCCAAACCCCTCCAAATACTCATAAAAAACGGCTCTAAACAAATTCTGAAGCAGCAGAACCCACAAAAAGACAGAGTGAAACAAATTTCCAGCCCAAGACAACCTGGAAGATTGATCAGAAAGGTGTATCGCGCCGGGCTGGGAGCGCAGCGTGGGTGCGCAGGCTACAGCAAACCTGGAGCAGGCCTCAGATAACTGAATCACGGGCAGCTGTGGAGGTTTCCAGACTCCTTGATCCACAACTGCCGAAGACAACTTAGAAGGTCAGTGGGAAAAGTCTGTTTCTGTCGGTGCTCAGAGAGGAAGGTGCGGTTTCAGCTCCATTCCCCAAGAGCATGGCTGGGGGGGGGGGGGCAGCTGCTTCCCAAGCTTCCCACAGACTGAGGGGGAATCCAGTGGCTGATAAGACAGGGATTGCAGGGATCTCTTTCCCAGTGCTGAGGCAGGAATCTCTTCTTTGCCCGTGTGTGGATCTGGGTCACAGTTCTGGGTGGTGGTGCTGGGGTGAGGAGGAACGCTGGCGTGGTGGAGCTTGTAGTGGCTGTAGAGAGGAACCCCTCCTCACAGTTACAGGACAGAAAGGAGTACTTGTGGTCACAGGCCAGGAAAGGAGTAAACACCTCGCCCCTTATCATACCACCTTGCAAGAACTGAAAATTTAAAGGTCCCTACAAGCATCTCTGAAAACAGCTATACAAACCCCTGAAGCTTGGGACAGTACACTCTCCACATTGGAAGCAGACTCTTACCTTAACAAAGAGTTTAAAACTCAAGTAATTGGCCGGGATCATGAGCAAGCAGCGCAAAAAGAGTCAGACTATATTATCTTACTTTGGTGACAAAGAAGATCAAAATATACAACCAGAAGAAGACAACAAAGTCAAAGCTCCTACATCCAAAGCCTCCAAGAAAAATATGAATCAGTCTCAGGCCTTGGAAGAGCTCAAAAGGGATTCTGAGAAGCAAGTAAGGGAAGTAGAGGAAAAACTGGGAAGAGAAACAAGACTGATGCAAGAAAATCATGAAAAACAAGTCAACAGCTTGCTAAAGGAGACCCAAAAAAATACTGAAGAAAATAACACCTTAAAAAATAGCCTAACCCAAATGGCAAAAGAGGTCCAAAAAGCCAATGAGGAGAAAAATGCCCTAAAAAGAAAAATTGGCCAAATGGAAAAGGAAGTCCAAAAGATTACTGAAGAAAATACTTCCTTAAAAATTAGAATAGAGCAATTGGAAGCTAGTGACTTTATGAGAAATCAAGACACTGTAAAACAAATCCAAAAGAATGAAAAATTAGAAAACAATGTGAAATATCTCATTGGAAAAACAACTGACCTGGAAAATAGATCCAGGAGAGAGAATTTAAAAATTATTGGACTATCTGAAAGCCATGATCAAAAAAAGAGCCTAGACATCATCTTTCAAGAAATTATCAAGGAAAACTGCCCTGATTTTAGAACCAGAGGGCAAAATAGAAATTGAAAGAATCCACAGATCTCCTCCTGAAAGAGATCCCCAAAGGAAAACTCCTAGGAATATTGTAGCCAAATTCCAGAGTTCCCAGGTCAAGGAGAAAATATTACAAGCTGCCAGAAGGAAACAATTCAAGTACTGTGGAAACACAATCAGGATAACACAAGATTTAGCAGCTTCTACATTAAAGGACCACAGGGCATGGAATATAATATTCCGGAGGGCAAAGGAGATAGGATTACAACCAAGAATCACCTACCCAGCAAAACTGAGTATAATCCTTCAGGGGAAAAAATGGTCATTCAGTGAAATAGAGGACTTTCAAGCATTCCTGATGAAAAGACCAGAGCTGAACAGAAAATTTGACTTTCAAATACAGGACTCAAGTGGAACATGAAGAGGTAAACAGGAAAGAGAAATCATAAGAGACTTATTAAGATTGAACTGTTTACATTTCCTGCATGGAAAGATATTTGTAACTCATGAGAACTTTGTCAGTATTAGGGTGGTTGAAGGAAAAAAATTATATGTATGTATAGATAGATAGATAGATAGAGGGCACAGGGTGAGTTGAAGATTAAGGGGTCATATCTGGAGAATAAAATTAAGGGATGAGAGAGGATGATACTCGGAGAAGAAAGGGAGAGGTAGAATGGGGTAAATTATCTCACAAAAAAAAAACAGAAAAGAAAAGTCTCTCACAGTGGAGGGGAAACAGGGGAAGGTGAGAGGGAATGAGGGAATCTTATTCTCATAGGATTTGGCTTAAGGAGAGAATAACATACACATTCAATTGGGTATGGAAATCTGTCTTACCCTACAGGAAAATAGGGGGAGAAGGGGACAAGAGAGCAGGGGGATGATAGAGAGGAGGGCAGATTGGGAAAGAGGGTAATCAGAAGCAAATACTTCTGAGGAGGGACAGGGTCAAAAGAAAGAATAGAATAAATGGGGGGGGCAGGACAGGATTAAGGGAAATAGAGTTAGTTTTTCACAACATGTCTACTATGGTAGTGTTATATGTACAACCTATATTGAGTTGCTTGCCTTTTCAATGAGGGTGGGTGGGGAGGGAGGAAGGGAGAAAATTTGGAACTCAAAGTTTTAAAAACACGTTTTAAAAAAATGTTTTCACATGCAACTGGGAAATAATACAGGAAATGGGGAACAGAAGTCTATCCTGCTCTACAGGAAAATAGAAGGAGAAGGGGATAAGAGAAGGCAGACCAGGGGAAGAGGTATTCAGAATGCATGCCATCTTGGGGTGAGGGGAGGGGTGAGCAATTTGGAACTCAAAAAACTGTGGAAGTGAATGTTGAAAACTAAAAATAAATAAATTTGTATTTTAAAAAAAAGGACAAAGAATCCTCAAAATTAAAGGGGAAGTAAACGGCAAACTCACAAATGTAAGTACTCTGGTTTTGGGGACCACATTGATAGCTGGTTATCAGGGGCCTCCTCTGCCACTTAAGAGAGCATGGTACAGAGGAAAGAGGCTTGGGATTCAGATTCCAAAGACCTGGGCTGGAATCCTGGCTTTGCTCTTTACTACCAATGTGACCTTGGGTAGGTCACTTCATGTCTATGTGACTCAAATTTCTGTTGTAAAGTAAGAGGGTTTGATTAGATATCTTTATCACTTCCAAATCGATCACTATAGTATCCTGGTACATAAAGTGAAAGATTATCCTGAGGACAGAATAATCGATTACAATTTCATATTTTGCCGGAAAAAATGCCCAACCTCAAAATATTTAGGATTACAATATTTTTTTTAAAAATTCTAGCTTTTTGCAGTCTGAGTAGTAAATGTAGTCTGAGATTTCTAAAGTTTAAATGCTTTTTCAAAAAACTGTAATAATCTGTTCTTTACCTCACTTCTGTCTATTTTTGGAAAAACAGTGTCCAAACATTACTTCATATAATAAGTTTTAAGTAAAAAATTCCACATTACTGAGAGGACTTAAGATTGTCATTTATTTTATTCCAAAACCTTTCATAAGTTCCATAAGATATAATTCACTAAGTGAAGGCAATAATTAGAAAGACAGATTGTCAAATATATATAAGCCTTGCTGTAAGAAAACCTAATTTATAATGACAATTTACGTTACAGAAAAAATAAAGGGGCTATTTACATTATAAAAAGATGCTTTACTTTGAAAGAATCCTTTAAATAGCAAGTTTCTCAAGAAATTTGGAATATAATTCAATTTACAAGAACTGAGTTTACATGTAAGCGTTTTATTGTCCTAATTTTGATTATAAAAGATTTTGTAAAGACATATTTAGAATTGTCACAAAGTTAGGCGGCACAGTGAATAGAGCACCAGTTCCGGAGTCAGGAAGACCTGAGTTCAAATCTAGCCAGACATTCACAGAACTGTGAGCCTGGGCAAGTCACTTAACCCTGTTTGCCTCAGTTTCCTCATCTGTAAAATGAGATGGAGAAGGAAATGACAAACTACTCCAGTTTCTTTGCCAAGAAAACCCCAAATGGAATCATGAAGAGGCTGAACCAACTGAACAACAATCACCTTTACCAGTTTAAATCCTCAAACTGTATTAAGCCCCATGCAAGTTACTTTTGGGTGCAATTATCTGAACTGGTCATAGCTTAAAAATCTTGTCCTGATACTAAAGGCTCTTATCCCCCAAAAGCAAACAAATTCTTCATCAACTCCTCACTTAACTCCTGTTTGCTATCAGGTCACAGTGAAATTAGACAGTTAAATTACAAAGTAATAAGGCAAAAAACAGCAAAGATAAAATGAGGGACAAAAATATTCCTCAAACTCAAAAAATTACATATAACTGGACAACACTCTACTTTAATTACTAGCTAGTTCTTGGGGACTCATTCATGAGTTCCGGACTGATAATTCAAGGTCTTAGCAATGTGTACCAGAAGTTCAATTTTTCTCTTTCTTCATGTTGGTCCTAGTCCTTAAAAATAGCATCTCATACTTCCAGGATGTGACAGGCCACCTCAGCTCCATCTAGTCTCCAGGCACCAAGGGTTCAGCCTGTGGATTTTCTCTGAAAATACTCTAGCCAATCAGGAATGGCCATTGCACTTTCATGCTCTTTCTCTCATACACTGAAGAGACAACTAATATAATACGAAAGAGATAATAAATCTAGTCAAATGATTTCACCCCCAAAATTCACAAAATATTTCACTTCTTCACAGACTCTTCACAAAATTTCCTAAAATTAACTGAAAAAGAGCAAGACTCCCAGGTATGAGAAGAAAAAAATTATTTTAAACTAGTACACTATGTTCAAGTACTACAGAAACAGAAGATTTCAATTAAACAAAAATGAAAGTCATGTTCTTGTCCAAAGCTCCCAAAACAACACTGGTATAGTTTTACAACAGCAAATGTCTTACCTAATTAACTTAACAACGTGATTGGTTCTGAAGAAATAGAACTTCTACTGAGAATAGGCTCAAACTTTAAATGGTGATTTGAGCTAACAGCAGCCTTAGATTTGGGGTACTTACCATCAGGGTCGGAAATCATGTCCAGGAGAGATTTGTCCAAAGTAGTCTTGCTCATTATTTTTTCTTCATACTCAAAATACACATCTAGTTTTCGAGTCTATTCCAAAATAAGCATGAAAAAAGTAAATTACATTAGAAAAGCATACTGGATATAATCTACCTGGTTGATAAAATTCTAAATGTTCCGTAATTTTTAAAAATTACTCATTCTTCATTGATAATTTTGACCACACAATTAACACCATCAAACTTAATGCTTTTATTTTGACAAATTTTAAGATATACACAGCACAGACAGAAAAACTGGCTGCAATTAAGCAAATAGTAGCTTATCTTTAATTATTGGCATACAAATAATAAGTACTTTTGTGTCACAGACATACTGAAATGTAGCCACACTATTTAAAGGACTTGGTAATTTCATATATACATAAATATGTATGTGTGGGTAGTGTGTATATATATGTATATGTATATGTATGTATTTACATATGTGTGATAATTGATTTCCAGGATGATTTCATTTTTAGCAAAAGAAAAAAAAGGGATTTTGGATACAACTCCAGCCTTAGAGTCAGGAGGACTCGAGTTCAAACCTGGCCTCAGACACTTGACACTTTCTAGCTGTGTAATCAGGGGCAAGTCACTTAACCCCAATTGCCTCAGGGAAAAAAAAAGGGGGGGGTTTAATATACTGCTTTCCATTAATTTCAAATAATAACCTACAAGCATGATTTGCTGTTTATCCACAAATGAATTTTGGGATTTCTGTGCTCTACAGCAAAAGGTCACTGAGCTTAGTTCACTTCTCCAATATTATTCCAACTTTCTGAAATGCAAAGAGCTAAGATTTTAAGTACTAAAGTATTATAAAAAGGAAATTAGATTGAAGGCTTTTATAGTTTTTTTTTAATTAAAATTATTAGGAAAGGGAAAGGCAGTGAGAGGAAGATCAAGGAAAACATACGAGTTTCTGCTTGATATACGAAGGAAGATAATAATGGAAGACAGAGAGGGGAAATTACTCAGCTTGCATTTTATTTCCATTTTCTATCTAAAGGAGAATGATGTTTAGCATGGTAAAGACAGAAGAAAAATAGTATCACAGAATTTTAATGAGAGGAATTTTAGGAGCCATCTAGTCGAACCAATATCTGAAAAAGAACCCCGTTACAAAATACTTGATAAATGGTTATCTAGTCTCTGCTTAAACACCTCCAAGAGAGGGAACCAAAGAATTTGTTTTGTTTAACTAAAAATATCTGTTAGTAGGGTTTTGTTTTTCTTCCACTGGCTGGAATAGTTTGGAGGGAGCTGAGATCAGGCTTGTTTAAAAAAAAAAGTGAAGCTTGTTTAAATGTTCTGGAAAGAAGCTATAATGCCAATGATGAAATGGAGCTCACTGAATTTAAACTTCCTATCCAAAGAAAAATGAACAGTGAGGTACTTAAGATTTGATGTATGACAAACTGAAATGAGGGAACCATGGACATAGGGAAAATTATTAAGAATTTGCTAACTTAAGAATCAATTAAACAACATGTGCAACATAAACAAACATCACAAGATGTGAAGTTAACCCATTCCTCCGCAACTGAAGAACTCAAGAAACAATATGGAGTGTACTAATATTATGAAATGACTATCTTAGATTCTACTTTAGCAAAAGGTGTCTTAAAATTACATTGCTAGTAGTTTAAAGTTCTTCAGTTTATCATCACTGGAATAATGTGGATGGATATAATGCACACTTATAGAACAAGAAAGGTTTACTGAATTATACCTTTATATGTTCTAAAACAGCAGTGGCAACATTAGTGTGAAGATCAATGAGCCTCTTCTTTTCAAGAAGTTCTGGAAGAGAGCTAAAGGAGTAAAAGAATCTGAAATTTATTCCTTGTGTTTCCAAGAAAATAACATATCACCATAAAACATTACAACTGGGCTTTTCTTCCAATGGAATTGAGAACAGCAAAATAGCAGTCTGAATATTTCCTTACAGCTACTATAACCTCTGAATATGAAAACTGTCAGTCTATATATGTTTCTCTTTAACTAAAAAATAACCTGGCCTTAAACATCAGCATTTCCAGAATCTTAGCTTTTGCCTCTCAAACTAGGAGATTTTAACCAAAACAAGGTACTAGACATATACTTTTTCCTTCTTTTCCAGAAATGTTTTAACCTGAAAATTAAATAACAAGAGCATTTCTTAGTATAGAAAAAGTGGATTGTATATGAAACTAGGAACTTTTGTTGTGTATACCTCTTAAAAATGTATATTAAACACAAAAGAATTAAAACCCCCTTGTTGATGGCCCCTTCTGAAACTGCTTTTGCCTTCTGTGTATTTTGCAAAAATTTTATTGACATTCTTTTCTTCTTTTCCTTTTGCAAGTGAATTCTTGCCATAGTACATCTCCTTGGGTTTACTGAATAATATATGAGTATATGCTCTTTACTTTGGATCCCATTTACCTAATCTGTCCTGATAATCAACTTTTCTACATTTTAAACAAGTACCAAACAGTTATATTGATAACAATATGGTAATAAACTTATGATCTAGCACTGGCAGGCTCCTTTCCTTCTACTTCATCAGTTTTTCTGAAATATGATTGGGCAAAAGTTTTTAATAATTTACTCTTCTCCTATTTTCTTTTTTAAATATAACAATTTCATTTTCACCTTTTATTTCTATCAAATTAGTTAATGGTATTTCTATCCTATTTTTTAAAAAGTTATATTTATCAAATTAAATTTTTACAAATTTTCAATTCTGATGATCTCTTCCTTGATTTTTACTATTCTCATTCTGCATTTAGTTGATTTAATTTTTTAAAATGCTGCTTTTCTAGTGCTTTTAGTTGCATGACCAACTAAGTGATCTGTTAACTCACTCTGGCTAAAGACAATATTTAGAGATATAAATTTTCCTCTAATGCTTTTGCTTCATCCCACAAGCTGTGGTACATTCTCTTATTGTTTGAAATTACACATTTTACAATTTGTTCTTTGACCCACATTTTCTTTAGGATTTTATTATTCAGCTTCATTTAAGTTTGAGTTCTTTCTTGAAATGCCCTTTATTCACCATAATTTTTACATATTTTTTTCTGCATTTGTGAATTTTTTTAAATCACCTAGCATAATGGCACCCAAAGCTGAAAATTTATATAGTCTCCTTTTTTTATCACCAAAAATCTAATTTTTCCCAAAATTTTATCCATGGGCTTCTTTTCATAATTATCTTTTTGTTTAATTGGAAATATACTTTTAGCAAGATTTGTTTCTGAAAGAGCCTTTCTTCTCATCTTTATGCCACATATTTGTACTTGTATTAGATTTTTTATTGTCCAAGGTATCTTTGCTGCCCTGTACTCCCCCCAAGGTTATTCTTCAACATAACAGTGCCAGAGATAAAAAATAACAAAGGCAGAGCAAGTTGGAAGTAGAATTTCAAACTCGGATTGGTTTAACTTTGGTGCTTTTTTCCTATCCCTCTTCTCTTTCTAGGTTGTATGACATATGAAGAATACCAGTTAAGCCTGCCCTCTCCATGTTTAGGCCACAGCTTGACCTTCATTTTCCCTTCCTAATTAAAACTATTGTGCCTGGATTTTAGTCCTTTGTCTCAACAGCAAAACTAAAAGTGTACTTTTTAGGGGGTATTTTTTTCATATCATGAAACACAGTAGTAGTAGTAGTAGTACTAGTAGTACTAGTAGTAGTAGTAATAATCTAATTATTTAGACTATATAGATAGCTTGGATTTACTCAACTAAGAGAAAATGTCTTGCCGTGGATGCCTCACTGTAGCATGGAAGTGATTCTGATTTCTTGACTGTCATGCCCGGGGAGTACAAGAACTACTAGGTTCTACACCAAGAAGGAAGGCATGGACCGGTGAATACTGTAGTAGAAAGTGTCAGATGGCATGTGAAATCCATCACAGCACTGAATGTATGCAATTCTATGACGTGATGTTTTCCAAACACCAGGCTAAGTTCTGAGAAGCCTATTACTAGACTAGCTGCCAGATGATTAATCTTCTGGACAACAGCAACATTTCAAGACCATTTATATAGAAGGGCTGCAGTTTGGAGTGGTGAAGGGTATACCCACATCAACAAAAACAAAGTGCTTACACATAATAACATAAAAACAAATGGCACTTATACAATGATACTTAAGGTATATAAATGGCTTTATATAAATTATATTACAGTCTTCAAAAGAGCACTATGAAACAGTCAACAAGGGAAACAAAATCAACTTGAAAATGTACAAAAGCAGCTCTTTGAAGTTAGATATAATACTTGTTTTTTTTTATCATCAAAGATTTACTATTATTGGGAGTACCATCCATTATCGTAACTTTGTTCAAACTGAACTGAATAAAAATAGATTTTGTCATCCACTTACCTAACAGCTGAGGTTAGCTTGGCTGTATTGTCAGAAAGCATACTTATAGCTCCTTCATCTTCTCCTTCTAAACCCTAAGAAATATAAAACCATACCATTAACTAAAAAAATCCCAATACCTATACACTCAATTTCTAAGATAATTTATTTAATAGATCCCTCAAAATAGTACATTTGGCCCCAATACCCCAACCCTCCGATAAATCCTACTTTGTGTAGTGGATAGAGTGCTCTACCTGGAATCAGGAAGACCTGAGTTCAAATCGAGCCTCAGACACTTATTAGCTGTATGACCCTGGGCAAGTCACTTAATGTCTGCCTCAGTTTCCTCATCTGTAAAATGATGATGATAATAGCACCTACCTCTTAGGGCTGCTGTGAGGATTAAATGAGATATTTGCATAAAGTGTTTTGTAAACCTTAAAGCATTATATTATTATAGCTAGTCTTAAAGCTATTATTATTGCTGTCATTATTAATTAATTTTAATGGCTGCTGTCAAACTATTTCTTCAACAGTAAAAAGCACCATATAATACAATTTATAACTTATAATACTGATTGTCCAAGTGAAGTAAGGTCTTAGTTTTATTGAACAATGTGATATCTTGCATTTGGAAGAACCTGACTAACCAAACCAGTTTGTATAATACTAAAGGGGCAAGATATCTGATCTATTTTTGTGAAACAAAATGGTAGATAATAAAAGTTATCCAGATAGGCACATAATAATAAAAGATCACTTTTGTGCATAGTTCTTAAAGTTTACAATGTGTTTTCTTACCTATAATTATAGTGTGAGGTAAGCAACATTAGAATTATTAGCTCTTTTTTGTTGAAATCAAAAGTGATGCCAAGCAAGGTGACATGACTTGCCTAAATGAAATCTTAGGAGATGAATATTTACTCTGGCTACACAGAAAGAGCTCATGTAAATATATAAAACCATTCTCCTTCTGGAAGCCTTCTTCCTAAGTATTCTCATGTACCAAACAGGATCTTACCATAATGCTTTTAAGCCGCTTTACTTCATCTTCCTGGGCTCTGTAGGATTCTAGTTCTTGTTGAACAGATTCTGCAACTTCTGGGAAAGGACTAAAACAATATTACACATGATGAACTAATGAAATAAATCATTATTAACATCTTTACATATATTTAATTTAGTAAGAAGACAAAGCAACGTACTATTTTTGTATCATGAGTAATAAGGTCATACTATTTTTCAAATTTATTTGTATATAATGCATATTATTTAAATATTCAGATATATCAAATGCCAGGGGTTATATGCAAATATATACAAAAATTATTTTTAAGAGCAAATGTATGTCAAACTAATTAAGATATTTCAATATATATTAAAATTTCAATTTATATTTTTACTTCTTGTTGATCATTAAATTTTCTTTTGGTTTCACACTGTAAGAAAGGAAATTTTTTTTAAAAAGACATATACATAAAAGCACTCCAGGAGTACAAAAAAACATTACATGTAATAAACAACATATAAACAATAAACAAATATATTAAAAATATACACCTGGCATTCTCACCAAATGACACACATTGTCAAAAGTTCCAGGCAATTAAATTATGGGTTTAAAAGCAACGTTACAATTATTCAGGAAAAAAAATCCTTGCAATTGTACATTCTTAATATCCTTAGATGCTATTGATATGTACCCAATTTTCTCTACAGATGAGATTTGTCTACTCTCTGGTACCTTGCTGTATATAAGCAACTATAATTTAATGGTATACTATAAACACTGAAAATCACAACAGATCCTATTCTTTTTTTTTCTTTTTCTTTTTTCTTTCTTTTTAAGAGATCCTATTCTTAAGAAAATCTAGGTTACATATGGGGACTGTAGCACAACAGTATAATAACTTATCTATACTATGCAATGTAAAATTATACAAACTACCTCACTAGCAAAATTTGATTCTCTTGAATTACAAGTTATACCTTTCTAGTTTATAGGGAAGAAAATGGATTAAAATGTTTTGAAAGAATTTGATTTTTAAAATGAAACTGATAAAAAACTTGACCGTATTACAGATTTTAGGCATATTAGAGATTTAACATCACTCCAAGTGAAGGACAAAAATATAAGCCAGGGCAAAGTTTATGTATAATAAAACATTTAGGAAGTACAAAATATATTTTATTCTATAAACCCATATTATATGAGGACACAGAAAACATTCAAGAGGGAGAAGTAGTAAATTTTCCATCACAGGAGACAAAGAGGGAACTCTACAGAAAACTGTTTCTCCTCCAACATAAATGTGAGTCAAATCAGAGCTATAAGAGAACAGGAAGATCAAATGCGTATATACACGATACATAACTTCAGAATTGCTAAGAGATCCCACATCCCAAAACAAAATATGCTTCTAATGTTACTATTAAAGAGTGAAGTTTACAGAGTGAAAAAAACCCAACACGATTTTTTTCACTAAAAAAAATATATATTTTTTTTTGTTCCTTAAAATAATTACAGAACAATTTTGCCAGAAATCATTATCTAATATTTATATTACAGTTACTTACTACAAGCAGCATACTGGAATGGAAACAGAACTGAATTTTAACAAGATCTAAATAAATAAATAAACAAACAGTTTTGCTGTTTATTGCCTGAACAACTTTGGGATTTAGTCTCCTTAATTTGTAAAGTAAAGTCATTAGGACCAACTAGATGATGCTTAAAATTATTTTCAGCTCTAAATACTGATGTTATAATACAAAGTGCCTGAATTTCAAGGTGTCCTCATAACCTAATATGCATATATATTACATCACACATGCGCGCGCGCGCGCGCACACACACACACACACATATACACATGCTCACACATGTACACTTAAAGGGAATTACTGTCAAGTTTCAAGCCCTCTCTTACTTACTCTTCTCACCACTTTTATAAGTGGTTTGGTTCCAAGCTTTGCAGTCTGAAGAACTGCTGCCATGAAAGAAAAGTGACAAGTTTTGGAACGGAAAGACCTGTGTTTCAATCCTAACTCTAATACTTAATATCTGTATGGCCTTAGGTTAGTCACTTAATTTCTCTGGACCACAGGTTCCTAACTCATAAAATGAGAAGGGTGGATGTGTAAGGTTCAGCCCAGCTATAAATCTATATTTCTATATGAGGAAAAAGTGGCACTGGGAAAGAGCATAATTTTTCAATATCTACTCTTGAAGGGGGTAGTTCCCAAATTCAAAAGATTTATGAACAAGATGGTAACATATTTATATTTAATGTAATAATGATCTTACATAAAAGAGACCAAAGGACCTGAGACTGGGAACAAAGAAAAAATGGCACTATAAAGAAAAAAAATCTTATTACTACCTTTTGTAACGAAAGATAAACCACTAGAATCTTTTCATAATTTTTAAGAGGATGATTCATCAAAGCATCTATCACCTTTGCTATCTGATAATTTGTCTTACTTACCTGCCTTTATGTTTTTGCCAAAACTTATCAACTGCAGTTAAATCATATGACTTCTTGTTTTTTCTCTTTGGTCTAGCACCAGCTGGAGAATTTTCTACTCCTGAAGATTCTTCCAAATTAACTCGATTTAAGTGAAAATCCTGGAAAACAGAAATCTTGATTTTAAAAACTGTTATCTGAACATGCAAACCACAAAATATATCATTTCATTATTTCATCTTCCATATAATACAGCAATGTTCTCAGATATCTAGCATGGTTGAAGATGTTGGTGTTCTACACTGGTGACATTTTAACCTGCAGAGTGTTCAACTTCTTTTCAAATCCTTTTTGATCAATGTTCTTAAAATGTATTTTCTTTCTTTACCTTAACAATAATAAATCTGACAGCTTTTTCTTGATTATTCAGGATAATTAATTATGAGCAATTATACTGCACTGTCAACATAGATGTAGTGCACAGTAATGGATACAAAGGTGTCAGCAAAAAGTGGATACAAGCCAACAGAAAAGCACACCCAGATTGGGCTGATTTTCCCAGACCATATTCCACATATGCCTGTGATGATATCACACATCAGTACTAGTTACATAATAACATATATGGAAACTGCTTTCTCGAAGAGATCCCAAGTGTCAGATTTTCTTATTTTGTGCCTCTTTTTCTGGTAAAGAATGCTCATGATCTCTTAAATAACATGTCTACCTCTATGAACAATCAATCCTAAAATCAAAGGCTTGCAGAAGTAAATTTCTTCCTGTTTTCATCAAGTCTAGCAAAGAGAGGAATTTAACTCTTGTTAGCAGTGAAAAGAGTAGCCATTATAAGTGATAATTGCCATTCATATTACTGAGATTCCTTCTTGTAAAGGGTTCTGAATTATATTATAATTATTTTCTTTAGCTGGGTTGCTTGAGAAAATATACCAAAAATGGAAAGAGAAGCCTGAGGGAACAATGAGGGTAGGACTTAATGGCTGGAACTACAAAGAATGGAATATATATTTCATTACTGTTCAATTCAATGAATATTAAGTGCCTGTAATGTGCAAGGTACTGTATTACAAGATAGAGGTGCAAATACAAAAACAGTCCCTGCTCTTTCTTTCTTTTTTTTTTTAAAGGCAACTGGGGTTAAGTGACTTGCCCAGGGTCACAAAGCTAGTAAGTGTCAAGTGTTTTGTCTGAGGCTGCATTTGAACTCAGGTCCTACTGACTTGAAGCACTTCCTCCAGTGCTCTATCCACTGTGCCACCTAGCTGCCCCCCAACAGTCCCTGCTCTTAAGGAGCATATATTATCTTTCACTGAAAGGTGTCTATGTTTTGTGTGTATGTTACAGAATTTTAGATGATCTAATTTTCAAAAATTTTAGACCTAATCTAATTGATACTGAAAAAATATACACACAATAGTGAAGCAGCCTCTGCTTGAAGACACCCAATGAGGAAAAACCCCCTAATGCCATTCCATTTTAGAATACAGCTCTAGTTATTAGGAAATTCTTTCCCTTACTACAAGCCAAAATTAGCTTCATTGCAACTTCCACTCACTGCCATTGGTTCAACACATTGGGCCCCCAAAAAGCAAGTCTAACTCCTCATCTTTCAAATACACTAAGAGAACTATAACATCTTTCCCTTGAGTCTTTTATTCTCCATGCTAAACATTCCCAGGCCTTTCAATCAACAGATCCTTATATGACATGGACTTAAGGTGCTTCACCATCCTGGTTGCCCTTCTTTTTAGATGTGCTCCAGCTTACACAAGTCCTTCCTGCGGTCCTCAGATCTGAACACAGTACTCAAAAAGGGTTTTGACCAAGGCAAAACACAATAGGGCACAATTTTCAAGTTATGTCTGAAAAGGAATATTCAGAGACCCTCTAATTAACACCCTCCCCTCCCACTTCCGCTAAATTGTTGGCAGAATGATAAAACCTTTCTGGGAATAATTTCGTTTATCTATATTTCTTATAGAAAGAAATGCTACATTTCAATTTGAGATTAGCAAAAATAAAGATGTAACTTTTTCTCCCATCTAATGTCCCAGACCCACTGACAATCTGTCTGTGGACCTCATGTTACAAACACCTGCTCTAGAGGCTGCATCCTTTCATAAGGTAAGATTTTGGATAAAATAAGCTAAAACTTCTATAAAAGCTTAATTAAGTAGAATTTGTAATAAGATACCAAGTACAGGATGAAAATACTGCTTTGAATCTAAAAATTAAACAAGTAGCGACAAGGCTCATTCCAAATAAATCCTTTTGGTTAGCAAAATAAAAAAAATTCAACAGCATATTGTTTTCTGATGTAGATTACAATCAACTGAAAACTAAAAAGCTATATGGTAAATATAAACCTTCTAAGAAACATTATTTTAAAAAAAGAACAAAACATCGGATACCTAAGATACAAAATGTAGAGCAAATTTTTACCTGTCATTTGCATATTAAGGCAGAAAAGGTAATATTTAATATTGAAATTGGGAACATTTTGTCCATCACCCCAAATACTGGAAAAACAGAAACTTCACACACATTATACACCAACAGAAATGTTTTTAACAGGATGAAACACCTAAAATCTTTTCATATTATGAATCAGATTTTCCTGGCTTGTAGTAGATTGTGGGCATTGGTGCACCAAGACACTGGCGCCACAAATTAAAGGTTGGCAGTTCACTAGGTACAAACAAATTACATTATGAAGTGTTAAGAAGTCTGGATAGTTTCAGCATGAGGCTAAAAGGAGATTTTTTGTTGTTGTTTATCATTTGCCATTCTCCCAAGATCACCCAACTCAGAAAAGACAGAGAGAAAATACAACTCATTAAAGACTTCTCTGAAAAGATACACTATAAATTAAAAAAATTTTCTGAGATTTATTATTCACTTCCTAAGAGTGGCTGTAAGGGCAAAAATGAAAGATCTGCAAAGTGCTTTGCAAACCTTAAAATGTTACATAAATGCTTAATATTATTACTGTCATTAGAAGAAAATGTTTAGAAATGTACAGCAATTGGAGTGGCCCCTGGGAAGCTTTCAGTGACTTCAGTACACGAACTTACTGAAAATAAATGGAAAATATGCTTGTTTAATGAACACACTTTCAGGCAATTAATAAAATTCTAATCATAAAAGGGAATAATCAGATAGGCAGCTGGAAGAAAAATAGAGAATCATTAAATTGTAGTGCTTGGCTACAAGGACTATTCCATTTTTGTATTATGAACACATAACTTAGCCCCTAATGCACAGGTGCTCTTGATAGATACTTGTAAATTAAACTGGAAGATGATGTTGGAGACCATCCAAGACCAGAAGTATCAAACACATATAATACTACTCAGTGCCTTAAAATATAATTGGGAAAAATTTAACAAAATAAACAAAAATACAATATAACATAATAGTAATATGTGGTTTTCTAAGTCAATATGTGACTTGTAGGTATCCTGTGTATCTATTTAATTTTGGCACCACTGATCTATGCCATCAGGATTTCATCTAAAGTGAGATTCGTATAAACATCATTTATAAGTATTTTATGGTTTATGAAGTGTGTTCCTCACAATAATACTTTGAGGCAGGTAATGAAAGTATTATTATCCCCACCTTATAGATTAGAAAACTGAGACTCAAGAGATTAAGTGAATTATACAAGGTCACAAAGGCAGCCAGTAGCAAAGCTATGACTCAAGCCTAGGTTGTCTGACAAGAACTCTTTCTACATTAGACTATCTTTCCCACGCAGAAATGCTGCCAAGTCTATTCTTAACAGTTTTCAGTGAAAGGGATTCTAAAACTCCAATGCTTTAGACTGCTCCAAAAAACATGGTATTTTCAGATAGAGTGTTCTTTTCATGTCTAACCTAATTCATATAATTTATATTTTATTACATATATTATATAATAGATTAAGTATAATTTAAGTAAACTTCCATTTATTTATTGAAAGAACTTTTTGCCTTCCAGAATATCATGTCCCATGACCTCTAATCCTTTAATGTTGCAGGGCCAAGTCCTGTGTAATCCTGATTGTGACTCCCCAATATTTGAATTGTTTCTTTCTGGCCACTTACAGTATTTTTTCATTGACCTGATAGCTCTGAAATTTGGCTATCATGTTCCTTGGAGTTTTTATTTTGGGATCTCTTTCCTGAGGTGATTGGTGGATTCTTTTAATGCTTATTTTGCCCTCTGGTTCCAGGACTTCAGGGCAGTTTTCCTTGATAATTTCTTGAAAGATGCTGTCACGATCCTCCTTTCGATAATGGCTTTCATGTAGTCCAATGATTCTGATATTGTCTCTCCAGGATCTATTTTCCAGTCAGTTGTTTTTCCCATGAGGTATTTTACATTTTCTTCTGTTTTTTTCTTTCTTTTGAATTTGTTTGATTGATTCTTGATGTCTCATAGTCATGAACTTTCACTTACCCAATTCTAAGTTTTAAGGTATTGTTTTCTTCAATTACCTTTTGTATTTTCTTTCTCATTTGGCCAACTGTAGCCCCCCCTTCTTTTCGTAAAATTTTTTATTTTAAATTTAAATACAAAACAAGAAAAGAAAAAAGAAACAAACTTAAATACTAGAATCAAAATAATACAAAATAAGAAAAGAAAAAAAAGCATTGCTGTGTGCACAGCAGAATGCAAGACTCAAAATACATAGCAATAAATTTCCATTTCAAGAAAGCCTACATAATAAATATTATGCATTGTGTTGACAGCTGTCCATCTTTTCTTTGCTTCCTTCTAAGTTTCCTTTTGTTCTCTGCTGTGCACTTTTCCATTTGTTCTTTCCCCTCGCTTCTTCCCCCCACTCCCAAGGCTACAATTAAATGTGAAGATACACCCCCCCCCACATATAGACATATATACACACATTATGCCCATACATACATAAACTATACATACATATACTTACATATCTATAATCATACTCATATATAGACATAGACATTCACATACATCTATGTAAGAATATACTATACAAAAATATACTATCATATGTTTCTTTGAGGGTGGATAAGTCCAAGTCTTTCATATTTTTCCAAGTCCATCAACTCATCATTTCCTACACCACAGCAATATTTCAAACTTATATTGTCCAGCTGTTTTAAATAGTCAAAAACAA